CTCTACTAAAAATACAAAATTAGCCAGGCATGGTGGCTGATGCCTGTAATCCCAGCTATTTGGGAGGCTGAGGCAGGAGCATCATTTGAACCCGGGGGAGGGAGGTTGCGGTGAGCTGAGATCATGCCAATACACTCCAGCCTGGGGGACAAGAGCAAAACTCCGTCTCAAAAAATCATATACAGGTTTATTATCTGTAGTTCTGGAGGTGAAAAGTCTGTAATGATTCTCACTGAGCTAAATTCAAGGCATCAGCAGGGCTGTGCTCCTTCCGAGAGGCTTAGGGAAGAACTCTTTTCTTGCTTTTCCAGCCTCGAGAGGTGACCCCATGCCTTGGCTTGTGCCGCCTTCTACATCCCTTTCCTGACTCCTCTGTGCTTTCCTCTTCCACATTTAAGGACCCTGTGATCACACCAAGGCCACGAGGATGACCCAGGATCATCTCTCCAGTTCAAGGTCAGCTGATTAGCAACCTTAATTCCGCTATGCTATGCAGCATACCAGGAACTAGGATGCAACACCCTGGGGGCCATTATTCTCCTAACCACACAAGTCACTGCGTGACTTGGAGCAATTACTTAACTTAAACAAGTCTACTAATCTATACAACAGAGATATTTTACCTGTCATGCAGTCATTACAGGAACTTGCCTTGCAACATGTCTAGAATAGTCCTTAACAAACAGTAAGTGCTACTATTTTCCTTGCATTATATATGCCAAGTACACATAAGGACAAATAAACAACATCACCTGCCAGCAGGGTCAAGGGACAGAATTAAACATGACCATAAGTGCTGTCACAGAGGGGAGTACAGAGGTCAGAGGAAATGGCTCACCTCAGGGGAATCATAAATGCTTCCCAAAAGGGCGATGGTTGAAAAGAAGCTGAGGAAGTGGGAGCCACAGGATACAGGAGAGAGGAGAAAGAAGACAGGAAGAAAAATCACACAGGGCTACTCTAACAATCTTGATAAGCAACAAAGAAGGCCTGAGTAGAAACATTAGCTTAAAACAAAACTGCCATTTTTGCAGGCAAAAAAAAAAATTTTGGATATAAGCAATTTTTTAAGTTTCAACCTAATGGAAGAAAAACAGAGTAGGTACAAACATTTGGTAATTACTGAAGATAAAGTTAGGTTAAGAGGCCAGTGGTGGTGGGTCATGCCTCTAATCCCAGCACTTTGGGAGGCCGAAGTAGGTGGATCACCTGAGGTCAGGAGTTCGAGACCAGCCTACATGGTGAAACCCCAACCCTACTAAAAATATAAAAATTAGCTGGGCATGGTGGCACATTCCTATAATCCCAGCTACTCAGGAGGCTGAGACAGAAGAATCACTTCAACCCCGGGAGGCAAAGGTTGCAGTGAGCCAAGATTGTACCGTTGCACTCCAGCCTGGATGACAAGAGCAAACCTCTGTCTCAGAAAAAAGAAAAAGTGATGAGGAAAAGCAAAGGAGTTCCCCCTCCTACCCCTTAAAATTCTTTTAGGATTAAAAATTATATTTGTCTGTTCAAAAAGAAACGAATTTCATTGGCCAGGTATGGCGGCTCATGCCTGCAATCCCAATGCTTTGAGAGACTGAAGTGGGAAGATCACTTGATGAGAAGAGTTCAATATCAGCCTGGGCAATAGAGTGAGACTCCGTCTCTACAAAAAATTAAAGGAGCTGGGCATGCTGGCGCCTACAGTCTCAGCTACTTTGGAGGCTGAGGCAGGAGAACTGCTTGAGTCTAGGCGTTCAAGCCTGTAGTGAGCAATGATTGTGTCTGTGAGTAGCCACTGTACTCCAGCCTGGGAGATATGGTGAGACCCCATCTCTTAAAAAAAATAAGAAAGGGCCAGGTGCAGTGGCTCACGCCTATAATCCTAGCACTTTAGGAGGCCAGGGCGGGCAGATCATAAGGTCAGGAGTTCAAGACCAGCCTGATCAACATGGTGAAACCCCAGCTCTACTAAAAATACAAAAATTAACTGGGCGTGGTAGCGTGCACCTGTAATCCCAGCTACTCAGGAGACTGAGGCAAGAGAATCGCTTGAACCCGGGAGGCGGAGGTTGTGGTGAGCTGACACCATGCCATAGCATTCCAGTCTGGGCAATAGAGCAAGACTCCATCTCAAAAAAAAAAAAAAAAAAAAACAACTTCAGCAAAACAAGAGCTTTTTGTGTACCAAAGGACAGAACACAGTGAAAAGTCAACTCAAAAAATGAGAGAAGGGCTGGGTGCAGTGGCTCACACCTGTAATCCCAGCACTTTGGGAGGCCAAGGTGGGTGGATCACTTGGAGACCAGCCTCGGCAACATGGGGAAACCCCGTCTCTTCAAAAAGTACAAAACGTAGCCATCTTTGGTGGCACATGCCTGTTGTCCCAGCTACTTGAGAGACTGAGGTGGAGGGATCACTTGAGCCCAGGAGGTGGAGGTAAACAGAGAGCCATCACTGTGCTCCAGCCCAGGGAACAGAGTGAGACCCTGTCTTGGGGAGGGGAGAGAAGAAGAGTGAGAGACAGAAAATATTTGCAAATCATACATCATGTATCTGATAAGAAACTGGTAGCTGGCTAGGCACAGTGGCTGACGCCTATTGTCCTAGTACACTGGGAGGGGCCAAGACAGGAGAATCACTTGAGCCCAGGAGTTAGAAACCAGACTGGGAAACCAGCCTCGGCAACATGGCAAGACCTTGTCTCTACAAAATATTTTTTAATATTAGCTGGGTGTGATGTTGTGCACCTGTGGTCCCAGCTACCCAGAAGGCTAATGTGGGAGGATCCCTTGAGCCTAAGAAGTTGAGGCTGCAGTGAGCCATGTCTGAGCCACTGCACTCAGCCTGGGTGAGAGCAAGAACCTGTCTCAAAAAATAATAATAAATAAAAGATGAAAGAAAAAAAAAGAAAGAAAACCAATTAACCTAAAAATTGCGAGCAAAAGATCTGAACAGACGTTTCTCCAGACACACAAATAGCAAGTAAGTACATGAAAAGGTACACAATCAACATCATTCATCATCAGGGAAATGCAAATCAAAACCATGAGACATCCCTTCACAACCATTAGGCATCAGGATGGCTATTACCAAAAAAACAGAAAATGACAAGCCAGTGAAGATGTGGAGAAGCTGCAACCCTTGTGCACTGCTGGTGGGAATGTAAAATGCTGTGGCCACTGTGAAAAAATGATACGATTCCTCAGAAAATTAAAGCTAAGGTTACCATGTAATCCAACAATCACAATTCAAAAGAACCAAAAGCAGGGACTGCTAACAGACATCTGTACAACAATGATCATGGCAAGACCACTGAGAATAACCAAAAAGTAGAAGCAAACCGAGTGTCCATACATGGATGAATGAATCAACAAAATGTAGTATATACACACAGGAATACGATTCAGCCTTCAAAAAGAAGACAATGCTGACACATCAGGATATGGTCGAACCTGAAAGATACTATGCTAAGTGAAATAAGCCACACAGAAAAAGCTACATACTATGAGTCCATCCTTGTAATATTTCTGAAATGACAAAACCATTTGAGTGGTGATTAGAGGTCCAAAACAGCAGAAGACGTAACTATGGCTGTTAATATAGTAGCACATGGGACATTTGTGCTAATAAATCCGTTCAATACCTTGACTGCAATGGCACATACACATGTGACAGAATTATGCAGAGCTCGCTGGGTGTGGTGGCTCATGCCTATAATCCCAGCACTTTGAGGTGGGCAGATTACTTGAGCCCAGGAGTTCAAGACCAGCCTGGGCAACATAGTGACACCCTGTCTCAATTATTTAAAAAAAGGCTGAGGCGAGCAGATCACAAGGTTAGCAGTTCGAGACCACCCTGGCTAACACGGTGAAACCCCATCTCTACTAAAAATACAAAAAATTAGCCAGGCGTGTTGGTGTATGCCCGTAATCCTAGCTACTCGGGAAGCTGAGGCAGGAGAATTGCTTGAACCCAGGAGGTGGAGCTTGCAGTGAGCAGAGATTGCACCACTGCACTCCAGCCTGGGCAACAGAGCAAGCCTCTGTCTCAAAAAAAAAAAAAAAAAGAAAAGCAATAAATATATATATTAAAAGGGGTCGGGAGTGGTGGCTTAAATGTGTAATCCCAGAACTTTGGGAGGCCTAGGTGGGTGAATCCGGGCAGATCACTTGAGCCCAAGAGTTTCAGACCAGCTGGCCAACACAGTGAAACCCCATCTCTACTAAAAATACAAAAATTGGTCAGGTGCAGTGGCTCACGTCGGTTAATACCAGTACTTGCAAGGCCGAGGCAGGCGGATCATGAGGTCAGGAGTTCAAGACCAGCCTGACCAACATGGTGAAACTTTGTCTCTACTAAAAATACAAAAAACTGAACAGGCAAGGTGGCAGGTGCCTGTAATCCCAGCTACTTGGGAGGCTGAGGCAGGAGGATCACTTAAACTTGGGAGGCACACGCTTCAGTGAGCCGAGATCGAGCCACTGCATTCCAGCCTGGGCGACAGAGCGAGACTCCGTCTCAAAAAAATAAAACAAAACAAAACACAAAAATTAACCGGGCGGTGGTGTGTGACTGTAAGTACCAGCTACTCAGGAGGCTGAGGTGAAGAACTGCTTGAACCTGGGAAGTGGAGGTTGCAGTGAGCTGAGAAAGTGTCACTGCACTCCAGCCCAGGTCACAGAGCAAGACTGTCTCAAAAAAAAATTTTTTTTTTTAATTTTTTTAATTGCACAGAACTAAATACACATACATAAATGTGTGGATGTTAAAGTGATGGGATCCGACAAATCTCCGTGGACAACAGCAATGTTAACATCCACCATGCTGCTGTGCTGTAGCTGGGAAAGACGTCATCACCAGGGGAAATGGGGAGGCACACAGGCCCCTCTGGATTATTTCCCACTACTGTATATAAATTCACTATTGGCTTAAGAGTTCAAAGAAGTAACCAGGCATTTGTTGTTACACTTACAGATTTTGAATAAAGAAAATCAAGTGAAGCCAAGCAATACCTTCTTCCATGGACTTAGTGAAGTTGCACAGAAGCGAGGACAACCCCTTCAAACAGCCTGCCACAACAGGTAGCTTGGGCTCTCTTACTGCTGATGTCATCTAAAAGGAAAGATTTAAGAAGTTGTCACAAGAGAAAAACACAACCACGTCAATGGAAGCAGAATATCAGAAAGTTCATCATACCTGGGTCTTAAGTTCACCCAGAAAAGCACGGAACAGGTTTTCTGCATTGTTTATCATCTCACTAGGATGAACTTCACCCAATAATCCCAAGAGCTCATATACTTTTTCTAAAACTGAAAAAAAAAATTTAGACAAGTGAAGGCCTCAAACTACATTTAAATAAGTTAAACCAAAATGTATAACCAAAATAAAATTGTGTTAAGTTCAAAATAAATTTTTAGGACATAAAAACACATAGCTTTTAGGATTGCATTCTTTCCTGATTAAGTTTTATGCAAATGCGCTCTGCTCCTCCTGTTTGCCAGACAGCCACATCTAGTCTCCCATCGCCAGCCACATCCCTGAGACACCATGGGGAAGGTGAAGGTCAGAGTTAACGGATTTGGTCATATTGGGCGCCTGGTCACCAGGGCTGCTTTTAACTCTGGTAAAGTCGATATTGTCGCCATCAATGATCCCTTCATTGACCTCAACTACATGGTCTACATGTTCCAGTATGATTCCACCCATGGTAAATTCCATGGCACTGCCAAGGCTAAGAATGGGAAGTTTATTATCAATGGAAATCCCATCACCATCTTCCAGGAGCGAGATCCCTCCAAAATCAAGTGGGGCGATGCTGGCGCTGAGTACGTGGTGGAGTCCACTGGCGTCTTCACCACCATGGAGAAGGCTGGGGCTCACTTGCAGGGGGGAGCCAAAAGGGTCTTCATATCTGCCCCTTCTGCTGATGCCCCCATGTTCGTGATGGGCGTGAACCATGAGAAGTATGACAACAGCCTCAAGATCGTCAGCAATGCCTCCTGCACTACCAACTGCTTAGCGCCCCTGGCCAAGGTCATCCATGACAACTCTGGTATCATGGAAGGACTCATGACCACTGTCCACGCCATCACTGCCACCCAGAAGACCGTGGATGGACCCTCCGGGAAACTGTGGCGTGATGGCCGTGGGGCTCTCCAGAACATCATCCCTGCCTCTACTGGAGCTGCCAAGGCCGTGGGCAAGGTCATCCCTGAGCTGAACGGGAAGCTCACTGGCATGGCCTTCCGTGTCCCCACTGCCAACGTGTCAGTGGTAGACCTGACCTGCCGTCTGGAAAAACCTGCCAAATATGATGACATCAAGAAGGTGGTGAAGCAGGCGTTGGAGGGCCCCCTCAGGGGCATCCTGGGATACACTGAGCACCAGGTGGTATCCTCTGACTTCAACAGCGACACCTATTCTTCCACCTTTGATGCTGGGGCTGGCATTGCCCTCAATGACCACTTCGTCAAGCTCATTTCCTGGTATGACAATGAATTTGGCTACAGCAACAGGGTGGTGGACCTCATGTCCCACATGGCCTCTAAGAAGTAAGACCCCTGGACCACCAGCCCCAGCGAGAGCACAAGAGGAAGAGAGGCCCTCACTGCTAGGGGGTCCCTGCCACAGAGTCCCCCACCACACTGAATTGCCCCTCCTCACAGTTTCCATGCAGACCCCTTGAAGAGGGAAGGGCCTAGGGAGCCCCACCTTGTCGTTTACCATCAATAAAGTCCATAGTCTTAACTAAAAAAAAAAAAAAAAAAAAAAAAGTTTTATGCAAATGCATTAATGCATAAGAGTTTCCTTTTTAAAGGAATCATTTTGTAAAAATGTAACATTTTTGGCCAGGCCCGGTGGCTCACACCTGTAATCCCAGCACTTTGGGAGGCAGAGGCGGGTGGATCACCTGTGGTCGGGAGTTCAAGATCATCCTTCCCAATATGAAGAAACCCCATCTCTACTAAAAAGACAAAACATTACCTAGGCATGGTGGAATATGCCTGTAATCCCAGCTGCTTGGGAGGCTGAGGTAGGAGAATCACTTGAACTGAGGAGGCAGAGCTTGTGACCAGAGATTGCATCATTGCACTCCAGCCTAGGCAACGAACGAAACTCCGTCTTCAAAAAAAAAAAAAAAAAAAAAATTAATGTTTTTATGAAGGGAAATCTTCACACGTTGCTTTTGTTTGGTTCCATTTTGGTTTGTTTTCAGCAAAAAGGATACATTTGCAAAACATGTAAGACCTTAGTACAGAAAACCTAAATCTTACACCAATAATTTGTTAACATTAATTTACTAAACTATTGGAAAATAACATGTAAATGCATCTCACCTGTATCTGGTATTTTTTTTTTCAATGCAAGCTCTCCATAGAATTTACTAAACAATTCTCCAATTTTCAATTCATCCATGAGTCTAGAACTTCTAAAAGTCTGAAGTAACTAAAAGAATACAAATTCGTACATCAGTGTAGTGCAGGAATCAAGAAAAAAAAGAATAAAAATTAGCATTCTCTCTAAAGAGGAAAATAAAGGGATTCCTCTATCTCAGTGTGTCTGTACACAGCAAAGGTTCAGAATCAGGTGTGTCTCAAAGATTTACATTTGGCCTCTTGGGATTCACATCCAACCCAGCTTATCTGGGAATTAGAGATTGAGGTGGGTGGTGCAAGAACACCAGGGGAAGAGTGTTCTAGGCTTGTTACCTTCCCAAGAAACCAAGATGACTAGAACCATTCTCTCAAAACCAAGGACCAACAAGAAACAAAGGAATTCTAAAATACAGATACAAAAAAAAACCAGAAACAGGTCACAGTGACCCCAACAACCACTTAAATGCAACATATCAACCCATTCCCACTGCTAAGGTTTTAGGAAAAACCTCAGAGATACGAGGTGATCTTTCAGCAATTCCTAATAGCATTAGGTTTCGCCAAAGCCAGTAAGGGCGATAAAGGAAAGAGCAATAAATTCCTTAGTCATTTTCCTCCTTCATTCTCCTCACAACTCAAAATTCTTCTTTTACTACACAAAAGAGTCTGGGAACAAAAAGCCAGGGTATTGTCAAGTGATATATCTTACCCATACATCAATGTGATTAGATTCTACCCTTCCCCAAAACTCTCACCCAAAACAAAATTGAAAATTCTGACTTTCAAAAATTATATGTTTAATATAAAATACATGTACTTAGAAACATAATTACCTTAATAAGAAGGTCCAGGGCTGGAATTTTACATTTAGCAGCTCTATCTTTTGTATAAACACTGGTACAAGTATTCTAGGTTTTAAAAAAGACATAACCAAAATCATCAATAAGATATAAAAACTAAGACTCAGCAATATCTAAAACTACATCTCCAAGAGGAACAATACCAAAATTTAGTATTTAGCTGTCAAAAATGTAACATTAGGCTGGGTGCAGTGGCTCATGCCTGTAATCCCAACACTTTGGGAGGCCAAGGCGGGTGGATCACAAGGTCAGGAGGTCAAAACTGGCCTGGCCAGCATGGTGAAACGCCATCTCTACTAAAAATACAAAAATTAGCTGGACATGGTGGCACGCACCTGTAACCCTACCTACTCAGGAGGCTGAAGCAGAATTGCTTAAACCTGGAAGGCAGAGGTTGCAGTGAGCCAAGGCTGTGCCACTGCACTCCAGCCTGGGCAACAGAGACTCCTGTCTCACAAAATAAACAAATAAATAAATAAATGAGTATGTAAATGTACAGATTAAATATTATTGACCAGATGCTGTGCTTCATGCCTATAATCCTAGCATTTTGGGAGGCAGAGATGGGAAGATCACTTTAGCTCAGGAGTTCAAGGCCAGCCTGGGCAACAAGGCAAAACCCTGTCTACAAAAAAAAAAAAAAAGATACAAAAATTAGCTGGGCACAGTGGCACACGCCTGCGGTCCCAGCAATGTCAGAGGCCGAGGTGGGATGGGGTAATCTCCTGAGCCCAGGAGATGGAGGCTGCAGTGAGCCACGATCACACACTGCACTTCAGCCTGGATGACAGAGCAAAACCCTGTCTCACAAAATAAAAATAAACAATAAAAATAAAAATTATTATTATTATTACTTTGAGACAGAATATCGCTCGTCACCCAGGCTAGAGTGCAATGGTGTAATCTCAGCTTACTGCAGCCTCCACCTCCTGGGATCAAGGGTTTCTCCTGCCTCAGCCTCCCAAGTAGCTGGGATTATAGGCACCTTGCCACCATGCCTGCTAATTTTTGTATTTTTAGTAGAGATGGGGTTTCACCATGTTGGCCAGGCTGGTCTTGAACTCTTAACCTCAGGTGATCCACCTGCCTCAGCCGCCCAAAGTACTGGGATTAGAGGTGTGAGCCACTGCGCCCAGCCAAAAATTAAAAATAATTAAAAACATTGATGCAATATGCTGTGGTAATGGTATCAACAAGAACAAAAAAAAATACAAATTAAACAGATACCTCAATGGAATTTTTTTAAGTCACTGTTCCTTATATACTTCTTATAGTACTTACTGCCATGTATCGAGAGAAAGAAATGAAATATAAAAAGGGTGACTAAAGATATTCAGTGTTCTGTGGCACAGCTACAGAAAAACAAACAAATAAAAAAAGACATTCAGAGAAGAATGGCTGGGACTCTACAGGAAAAGAGCACAGTGTAACTAAACAACATGTGTTCTGGACTGAGGCCCTGGCTCCAAAAGACAGGTGAGTTTCGTTCCTGCTAAGTTTCATTCATAAGCTAGTGAGATTAGAATAACTACCTCACAGAGTTTTGTTAAAATTAAGTAAGACAAACTGTAAATTAAAGAACTCTGTAAACTGTAAAGCACTCTCCAAAAAGTATTAGCTACTCCTACTACTGAGACAATTATTAAAAACATTAAGACTCCCATCAAGATAGCCTAGAAGTCAAAAGGGAATCAAATTTAAAACACCTATTAAAAAAGACTGATAACAGGAAGAATGCAGTGGCTCATGCCTGTAATCCCATAGCTTTGGGAGGCTGAGGCAGGAGTATCACTTGAAGCTAGGAGTTGGAAACCATCCTGGGCAGCATAGCGAAACTCCATCTCTGCAAATTAAAAAAAATTTAGCCAGGCATAATGGCTTGTGCCTATAGTCCCAGGTACTTGGGAGGTTGACACAGGAGCATCCCTTGAGCCCAGGAGTTTGAGACTCCCATGATCGCACCACTATACTCCATCCTGGGAAACAGAGCAAGACTTTGTCTCAAAGAAATAAAATTGCCAGGCCCTAGCGGGGCTAAGGCAGGAAAATCCACTGAGCCTAAGAGTTAAAGGCTGCAGGGAGCTACAACGGCACTACTGCACTCCAGCCTGGGAGACAAAGTGGAACTCTGTCTCCAAAAACAAAAATGACTGATAACCATTAAAAGTAATATTTTAGGCCAGGCATGGTGGCTCACACCTGTAATCCCACCACTTTGGGAGGTTGAGGCCAGCAGATCACAAGGTCAGGAGATTGAGACCATCCTGACCAACATGGTGAAACCCCATCTCTACTAAAAGTATAAAAAATAAGCTGGGCATGGTGGCACATGCCTGTAGTCCCAGCTACTCGGGAGGCCGAGGCAGGGGAATCACTTGAACTTGGGAATCACTTGAACTTGGGAAGCGGAGGTTGCAGTGAGCTGAGATCACACCACTGGACTCCAGCCTGGGCAACATAGCAAGACTCTGTGAAGAAGTAATATTTTTTATATTTTATCTAGTAAAAATTTACAAAACATCTTAAAAATGACCTCCAATTGAATACTTCCTTCATCCTTCATTAACTATTAGCACAAAAGAACTAGAAGCAAATTCAGGACCAATAAAAACTTACCATGCATGATACGTGGTATTTGAAAGTACAAATAAGAAACAACCTCATTTATGACTGCTAGTTCCTAACATAGGAAGAGGAAACCTGGGGACAGCAGGTTGGAGAATGTGAGACCCAAGAGAGCCAAATTTTTCCAACTATTGTCAAAGGGAACACACAAACTACAGGGAACACGATCTCACCCAGTGAAAGCCTTTTTTAAAATCGCATTTTAAAATGTTCCAGAATTGGCCGGTCGTGGTGGCTCACGCCTGTATTCCCAGCACTTTGGGAGGCTGAGGTGGGTGGATCAGGAGATCAGGAGTTCAAGACCAGCCTGGCCAAGATGGTGAAACCTCGTCTTAATGAAAACAAAAACAGTTCCAGAATGTCTCCACAATTCAAAAAATACTACCTGTGATGACTTTTTGTGAAAGGTATTATTTATCTCATGTGTAAAACGCTGTCAGGGGGCCAGGGAGCCTGGGGTGCCGCTGCCACCTCCTCAGGAAAAAAATTAAGGTAGTTACCAAAAAAATTATCAAAGTAGTTTCCCTGGCAAAGGCCTTTGCTTACTAAATCTAAAAAATAATGAAGAGCCTACTCTTGTAACACAATGAAGCAGAAATAAGCAAATTCCCCATTGAGAAAGGAGAGTTTTTTATCTTTAAAATAAAAATCCAAGTTCCTTACACCGTAAATTAAGTATAAGTTGATATATAATGTAATGAGGTTATTTTTTTACTTCTTACCTTAATTTCAAGACAGTAAGGCGCCATCTTCTGGCCCATTTTTTCTAAGAAAATACATAAAAACTTTAGGATTTCTTCTCTACATTCACGAAACTGTAATGAAAGAGATACACATTATAAATCTGGGTAAGAGGAGTCATTTCAGGAATATACAAGAAAATCAAAACAAAAACTGTCAACTTACTTCAATACTGTTGAGTGACTTCCGGACAAATACAAGCAAACCGAAATCTCTGGAAAAAACTAAAGATGTCTGTAATGCTGTTCAAAAAAACAAGCAAATAAGTTAAGAGACTGCCAAGAGCATCATGTAAAACTACTCCTAAGGGAGTTGCACAGATTTTCAGGGCACAGCCTTAAAAATATAAAACACTAACCCAAGGTTGCTGTATTAAAACAAGGAAAGCAAAAAATTCTAAACAATGTTCCACAGGCATACAGTAGGCAGAATAATGGCCCCAAAGATGCCTGCATCCCAATCCGTGGGGTCACACCTTGTGAATATGTTAACTATATATGGCAAAAGGAAATTAAGCTTGAAGATGGAATTAAGGTAGCTCATCAGCTGACCTTAAAAATGGGGAGATCAGGCCGGGCGCGGTGGCTTACGCCTGTAATCCCAGCACTTTGGGAGGCCGAGGCGGGTGGATCACGAGGTCAAGAGATCGAGACCATCCTGGTCAACATGGTGAAACCTCGTCTCTACTAAAAATACAAAAAATTAGCTGGGCATGGTGGCGTGTGCCTGTAATCCCAGCTACTCAGGGGGCTGGGGCAGGAGAATTGCCTGAACCCAGGAGGTGGAGGTTGCGGTGAGCCGAGATCGCGCCATTGCACTCCAGCCTGGGTAACAAGAGCGAAACTCCGTCCCCAAAAAAAAAAAAAAAAAAGTAATAAGACAATGAGATCCTGCTTAGTCATACGGGGAAAAAAAAAGGTAAGAAGATAAAGAGTGGGTCACAGAGACAAGAAGGTGTGAAAGCAGAAGATTCCAAACCTCTGGTTAGGGGGACTTGACATGCTGTTGCTGGCTTTGAAGATAGAGGGAAGGGAGCTGTGATCCAAGGAAAGGGACAGCTTCAGAAAGTATAGAACGTCAGGGACCGCAATCCTACAACCTGAACGAATAAGGCAATAGATCCTTCCAGGAGCCTTCAGAAAGAAAGCAGCCCTGCCTGGTGATACTTTGGTTCTAGGTTCCTGAGACCTGTGTGGGATTCTGACTTACAGAATCCCTCTTACAATGGCAACTGTGAGAGTAACAGATCTACGCTGTTTTAAACCACTAAGTTTGTGGTAATTGCTACAGCAGCAATAAAGAACTAACATACTTCTCCTGGAATCTCTCAGAGGAAAGGAGATACGTTGGCCGAGTGCAGTGCCTGTAATCCCAGCACTTTGGGAGGCTGAGGTGGGAGGATCACCTGAGGTCAGGAGTTCCAGATCAGCCTGACCAACACGGAGAAACCCGTCTCTACTAAAAACACAAAATTAGCCAGGCATGGTAGCACATGCCTGTAATCCCAGCTACTTGGGAGGCCGAGGCAGGAGCATCCCTTGAACCCGGGAGGCGGAAGTTGCAGCAAGCCAAGATTGTGCTATTGCACTCCAGCCTGGGCAACAAGATCAAAACTCCATCTCAAAAAATAAAAAAATAAAAAAGAGGGCCGGGTGCGGTGGCTCACGCCTGTAATCCCAGCACTTTGGGAGGCCGAGGCGGGTGGATCACGAGGTCAAGAGATCGAGACCATCCTGGTCAACAAGGTGAAACCCCGCCTCTACTAAAAATACAAAAAATTAGCTGGGCATGGTGGCGCGTGCCTGTAATCCCAGCTACTCAGGAGGCTGAGGCAGGAGAATTGCCTGAACCCAGGAGGCGGAGGTTGCGGTGAGCCGAGATGGCGCCATTGCACTCCAGCCTGGGTAACGAGAGCGAAACTCTGTCTCAAAAAAAAATAAAATAAAATAAAAATAAAAAAATAAAAAAGAAAAAAGAAAGAAGATATGTCATAAATGGAAGGTAGGCTTGAAAGTGCTTTAAAAACAAGTTGCTAAACAAAAATGAATTATAAATTTGAAACCCTGAGAAGATAAAGTAATTATACAATGTTAGTTTTTTGTTTGATATTTTCCCATTGTTAATATTTTCTTGACAACACAGAGAACATGTAAGACACATATATATGGCATCTTTTTTTTTTTTTTTTTTTTTTGAGACAGAGTCTTGCCGCCCAGGCTGGAGTGCAGTGGCACGATATGGGCTCACTGCAACCTCCATCACCTGGGTTCAAGCCATTCTCCTGCCTCAGCCTCTTGAGTAGCTAGGACTACAGGCGCACGCCACCGTACCGGGCTAATTTTTGTATTTTTAATAGAAATGAGGTTTCACCACACTAGTCAGGCTGGTCTCAAACTCCTGACCTCAGGTGATTCACCCGCCTCGACTTCCCAAAGTGCCGGGATTACAGCATAAGCCATAGCACCTGGCCACATACACGATCTTGTTTAAACTGCTTATGTTATTCCCACACCATATTCAGTACCAGCCTCTCAGGCAGAAAATTTCACCTAACTTTTGGTGAGATGGTGTTCCGGGCACAACATCCAGAAGAGGTCTGCACACTCGTGTTTTAAAGAAGGAATTACAGGAGTTTCCACACAATGAAATATTTGAATTTTTAAAATGCTGAAAAGAGGCACTTTTACTACAAAGGGGAAAAAGTTCCCACCCAGGCATTGCTAAATTAAAAGAACACCACGACTTCAATTATATTTTTTCAATCATTCTCAAAGTAGGAACAGCAAATTTAAGGGTTTGGAAAAGGTACTGGTGGGAATTAGGCGAGATTCAGAAAGCAAATACTTTCTCCTGTTCGGGCGCGGTGGCTCACGCCTGTAATCCCAACACTTTGGGAGGTAGACGCTGTTGGATCACGAGATCAGGAGTTCGAGACCGCCTGACCAACATGGTGAAACCCCACCTCTACTAAAAATACAAAAAAAATTAGCCGAGGGTGGTGGCGCGCGCCTATAATCCCAGCTACTCAAGAGGCGGAGGTTGCAGTGAACCGAAATCGCGCCATTGCACTACAGCCTGGGCGACAGAGCGAGACTCCATCTCACACACACACACCCCAACACTCTTTCTCTGGCCCTCCCCCGACTCTGCATAGGAATGATTGCCAAATTACGGGTCGTTTTCACCAACTTTGGTTTAAAAATATCTTTCCTCTAATACTAGGGGGAAAAAACCAGTATGACAAATCACTTTTTATACAGAAATTCCCTCAAGAACCTAAACGCTGTACTTCAAAATATCGTCATCTAAACAGAAAGAAGCGCCGGGCTGCCCAGCTCCAGAACGACTCGTGAAGCCAGGTCCCACCGCGGCCCAGCTCTGACCGGTACCCACCCAGCAACGCGGGGCTGCCGCTCAGCACGCATTCCTGCCCCAGGCCGCGGATCAGCTGATGACCGGCCAGGGCAGCACCGCAGCGGTCCGCGGCGGACAAGGTCTCCTGCAGCCGCAGCAAGGAGCAACGCACACCGGCTCCGGAGCCCGCCATGCCGCCGAGTCCCGCTCCCGCGCGTGCGCCTGCTCGGGCCGGACCCGGAAATGCCCCTGCGCGGGGGCGGGGCTACGGAGAGCGGCGGCAGGAACTTTCCCAGGGACCCCTGCGGGAGGGCCCCGGCCTGTGGGTACGTCTCTTTGGTTCGTATCAACCGTAAAACCTAAGGAGAGACGCCGTCCATCGGTCTGATCCGCGGAAGTAGATGGGGTGGCTACTTGGTATTGGAGTTGACTAAATAAATACCAGTGGCAGATAAAACAAGCGAGGGGCCTGGGTCAAGAACTCCAAGTTTATTCCTCGATAAAGAGTGACAAACGCGTCTGGCCGCGGTGGTGCCCGCCTGCAGTCCCAACACTTTAGGAAGCAGAAGCAGGAGGATCGCTGGAGTTCGAGGCCAGCCTGGGCAACATAATGAGACCATCCCCGCCCCGTCCTTAGTTGTTTTTTTTTTACATTTTTTAAAAGTGATAAATGCATCTGTAATGTCCTTATTAGTCAAAAACGCTTAAGGAATAAAGAAGCACATGCTCCCCAGTCAACACTGGAGGAACACACTCCCGAGATCTGGTGCCGTCGGACCCAGATTTCCCGCGAAAACGCCGCAGCGCAGGGGGTCAGACCATCTGGACAGAGGGGGGACTGAGCGAGGCCTACATCTGGCTTCCGCACGGGCACCAAAGGAAGCTGCCGTGTCCCCCCTACCGCTGTGCAGTGGCGCCTCCCGGAGGCGGAGCCACGCACGAGCGTCGCTGTGATTGGTGAGGCGCCGCCAGGGGCGGAGACGATTTTGCCGCCGGCGGGAACTCTGGGTCTCGCGGTTTGGGAGCTCGACCCTCCAGGTGTAGCCGGAACCCTGCTAGCATCTGCAAGCGGCCGCTTTTCGCCGGTAACCGCGCGCCGGCGGAGAGGGCGTGGCGCGGAGCCGGCGGGGCTGTCCGCGCGGCGGGGCAGGGCGGGGAAGCCGGGCGGCTGGCGCGGCGCGGCGCGGCGCGACCTTATCCTTATCTTTCAGGTATCCCGAGCACCATGTCGTCTCCGGCGTCTACCCCGAGCCGCCGCGGCAGCCGGCGTGGAAGAGCCACCCCCGCTCAGACGCGTGAGTCCCTCTAGCCCGGCCCTCCACGGCCCCCGGCGCGGCCCCTCCGCCCTCTCCCGCCGCAGCTGGCAGCGCTGAGTGGGTGCGCGGCCCGGGCGCTGCCCCGTGGTGCGCACGGACACTGCAGTCCTGGCCTGGGTGCTGATTGCCCATTTGTCCCTGTTTGGTTTCGTTCAGTGGTGGGTCAGTAGTGCCCCAAAGGACCAACAAATCCAGGAAGGCCGGATCTGAAAGTTCATGACCGTCTTTTCTGTTTTGTGTGACACAAGCTCGAAGTGAGGATGCCAGGTCATCTCCCTCTCAGAGACGTAGAGGCGAGGATTCCACCTCCACCGGGGAGCTGCAGCCAATGCCAACCTCGCCTGGAGCAGACTTGCAGAGCCCTGCTGCGCAGGACACGTTATTTTCCAGCCCTCCCCAAATGCATTCTTCAGGTGCGTGTCTGAAGATCTACGTTATGCTGGATGCCTGATACACAGCTGATGCTTCATCTGCTGAGGTTTACTAGTTTGATAACACTGGCTGTCATAATGCCTAAAGCATCCCCTCTGCACATCCGTGAGCATGGTCTGAACCAAAGGACCTGCAGAACAAAGCTCGGGGAATAACACTTTTAGGGCTTAGTGAGCAGAGGAGGCAGCTTCTCTTGTGCTTTTTTTAATAGGACATTTAATAGCGCTCAATTTCAACCCGCAGGTTGCAATAAATAATTCAGTTTGCTGTTGTGATGAGGTTAGATAATATAGATCAACAGACAACATTCTGTAGTTTGAAGGTTTGATATGCCACCAGAATTTTGTTGTAAACCACCTAATTTTGGTTTTTAGCAATCCCTCTTGACTTCGATGTTAGTTCGCCACTGACATATGGCACTCCCAGCTCGCGGGTAGAGGGAACACCAAGAAGTGGTATTAGAGGCACACCTGTGAGACAGAGGCCTGACTTGGGCTCCGCACAGAAGGGCCTGCAAGTGGATCTGCAGTCTGACGGGGTAACTATGCAGTCTACTGAAACCATCTTATGGCAGATGTCACCTGGGTAACTTCATTGTCATGGTTCTGTCATGTTTTTCTGTGTAGGCAGCAGCAGAAGATATGGTGGCAAGTGAGCAGTCTCTAGGCCAAAAGCTTGTGATCTGGGGAACAGATGTAAACGTGGCAGCATGCAAAGAAAATTTTCAGGTGAGCTATATGTATTGAAATTCTTGTTTGGGCTCTGAAAATGTTCGGAGACAGTGGTGTTTGTAACCCATTTCCGAGTAGCCATATGACTAGGGTCAGATTTGTAGGTGGCCTAGAATTACTACTGTCTTTCTGATGTTTAAGAAGAGCTACTGTCGTGGCTCACACCTATAATCCCAGTGCTTTGGGAGGCCAAGGTGGGAGGATCACTTAAAGCCAGGAGCTTTTGATAGCAGCCTGACTGGTATAGTGAGACTTCATCTCTAAATTAAAATTTTAAAAAGAGAAAGGAAGAAAAAATTTTATTTCTGTTTCTGATAGTGACATACTCATAACTTTGAGTGTTTTTAATAGTTGCTTGTTCCCATATGCTATATGCCTAATATTTTTTCTCTTCACTTGAAGAGATTTCTTCAGCGTTTTATTGATCCTCTGGCTAAAGAAGAAGAAAATGTTGGCATAGATATTACTGAACCTATATACATGCAACGACTTGGGGAGGTAATCAAATGCTCTTTAAATTCCAGTTATGTGTTTTAAGATGATTACATTAGCAAAATATAACTTGTTCATTTTTATCTTACAGATCAATGTTATTGGTGAGCCATTTTTAAATGTAAACTGTGAACACATCAAATCATTTGACAAAAATATGTACAGACAGCTCATCTCTTACCCACAGGTAAGAATTTGACTTTGACCTTGATGAATTTTAGTAACTAGAAAGAATGTTTCCAGATAACAGAAATTCCTCAGTAATGAAGAAAGTATGCACAAACACTTTAAGAAAAACCACGTATCATCTCCTTTGGCCGGGTGCAAAGGCTTACACCTGTAATTCCAGCGCTTTGGGGGGCCGAGGCAAGTGGATCACTTGAGGTTGGGAGTTAGAGACCAGCCTGACAAACATAGTGAAACCCTATCTTTACTGAAGATACAGAAATTAGCTGGGCATGGTGGTGGATGCCTGTAGTCCCAGCTACTTGGGAGGCTGAAGCAGGAGAATCACTTGAACCCAGGAGGTGAAGGTTGCAGTGAGCTGAGACAGCACCACTGTTCTCCAGCCTGGGCAACAAAGTGAGACTATCTCAAAAAAGAAAAAGAAAACCATCTATCATTTCCTTTTAAGATGAACCTTTTTTTTTTTTTTTTTTCTCCTCCACATTTTAATGTTTCTGAAAGTGAACTTTGTATTATCAATGACAGGTTATGGTTTAATTGGCAGTGTTTCTCTAGAAAAATTATGAATCTTACAACTGGTAGCTTCTTGGGTTTCATGAAGTAAGTTATCTTAAGTGGAAATATTTTAAACGCATTGCATACTTCCTGCTTTAAAGTAATATATTTATTGTACTGTAGACTTTTACTTCTAGCCCTTGGATTTGTTTTTATTAATGAAATATCAGCTCTGTTGACTCTGGGTGTAGGCTTTGGAGGAAAGCAGACTTGGTTTTTTAGTCTTGGTTTTGCTGATTACTAGCTGCATAACCTTGGTCAAGTTCCTTAGCCAACCAAAAGCTGTTTCCTCATCTGTAAAATGGGAACTGTATGTTAACAAATTTGAATAAATATGATTTAGCTTACTTTGATATCATTTCATTATGGGGGGAAGATAATGAAAATATGAGATAAAAATATTTTCTTCTAATAGAAAGCATAAAATATGCCATTGTACATGAAGAAGGCACTTTCTTTCTTCTTTTTTTTTTTCTTGGAGACGGAGTTTCGCTCTTGTTACCCAGGCTGGAGTGCAATGGCGCGATCTCAGCTCACCGCAACCTCCGCCTCCTGGGTTCAGGCAATTCTCCTGCCTCAGCCTCCTGAGTAGCTGGGACTACAGGCACGCGCCACCATGCCCAGCTAATTTTTTGTAGTTTTTAATAGAGACGGGGTTTCACCATATTGACCAGGATGGTCTTGATCTCATGACCTCGTGATCCACCCGCCTCGGCCTCCCAAAGTGCTGGGATTACAGGCTTGAGCCACCGCGCCCGGCTCTTCTTTTTTTTTTTTTAAAGACAGGGTCTTATTCTGTCGCACAGACTGGAGTGTGGTAGCACGATCTTGGCTCACTGCAACCTTCACCTCCCAGGCTCAAGTGATTCTTCTGCCTCAGCCTCCTGAGTAGCTGGGATTACAGACACACGCTACCACGCTCAGCTAATTTTTGTATTTTTAGTAGAGATGGGTTTCACCATGTTGGCCAGGCTGGTCACAAACTCCTGACCTCAAATGATCTACTTGCCTTGGCCTCCCAAAGTGTTGGGATTACAGGTGTGAGCCACCATGCCTGGTCAAGAAGGCACTTTCATGTAAATTGTCAATTTAAACCAAATAAGAGTATGCAGAGATTGAGTGTACCTAAATTTGAAAACAGCATGTGAATGATTCTGTAGGGTAACATTTGGGGGAGCATGCCATGTTGTCTTGTTTTTATGTTTTGCTACTGTGACATGCTTTTATTGTATTTAACACTGAGATATGAATAAAAATACATCCTGGCATCTTGATAATTTGTTTTACAGGAAGTTATTCCAACTTTTGACATGGCTGTCAATGAGATCTTCTTTGACCGTTACCCTGACTCAATCTTAGAACATCAGATTCAAGTAAGACCATTCAACGCATTGAAGACTAAAAATATGAGAAACCTGAATCCAGAAGGTAATGTATTTCATAGGATTACTTTTGTGGAAGGAAAATGCCTTGCATGAAAATAGCCTTGTTTCATCAAGAAACTATGAAAGAAGT